CGCAATGACCTTCGTATTCACATCTAGACACGCAATGACCTTCGTATTAATATACATGACACTTGCTCTCCCAAGCGCATGTGGTACAACACGAGCCATTAACGCATCCAGACATGCGCAGAGTGACATGGGGCCAGAGTGCTCAAACAACCACGAGGGAAGTGAGCTTTGCATTATTGCTAATGGACACCCAATTAACTCCACAGAGTGCTCTACAACACCGAAGTGAAGGAGCGTAATAGTACAATCTATATATATATATATATATATATATATATATATATATATATATATATATATATATATATATATATATATATATATATATATGTATATATATATATATATATATATATATATATAATTTGGTTTTGTTGGTTATAAAAACTTTTGGCAAAGTGCTCAATGGAAAACCAGAGCATATTTAAATTAAGGTACAACATAGTTTCGTACCACAGTATGTGGCACTCTTCAGGTCAATTTATCTGAAGAGTGCCACATACTGTGGTACGAAACTATTTAGTAATAAAGATGCCTAGTGGATTTTGTTGATTTGTTGTACCTTAATTTATATATATATATATATATATATATATATATATATATATATATATATATATATATATATATATATATATGTATATATATATATATATATATGTATATATGTAATGTAGATATGTATATATGTAATGTATATATGTAATGTATATATGTATATATGTATATATGTATATATGTATATATATGTATATATATGTATATATATGTGTACTGTACAAAATTTCAGACAATTTGGTTTAGTTTAAGTCCTTTAACTATTCATTTTGTTCTAAAAAGTCAGCCTTTCGCATGCTTAATTAAAGCCTTTACCTAATTTGCATATTGCTGACATATGCAAATTAGGCAAATGCATTAATTAAGCATGCAAATAGCTGATTTTTCGGGAAAATTGTAACTTTGCGTGAATAGTTAAGGGGCTTAAACTAAACCAAATTGTTTGAAATTTTGTACAGTAATTAGAATCCTGACAAATTTTCCATCTGTTAACTCAAAATATGATTGCAGCTTTTAAATTTTGTGCGCGAGCCATTTTTAATTTGTTGGAAAAGACACACCCCCCTGGTTCACAAAATTTGAGTTCGAGAAATTTTTCTCATTATTCTACATTATAAGTACCCAAAGAGGCCATATATATAAAAAACCGGATACAAATAGCTGTTTTGCGAAATTGAGAGCAATTTTAAATCTGTTCAGTTTTTTTTGATACACCCTCTATATATATATATATATATATATATATATATATATATATATATATATATATATATATATATATATATATATATATATATATATATAGTATATATATATATATATATATATATATATATATATATATATATATATATATATATATATATATATATAATATAGTCATTCACCGTATATGAGCTGTTCCGCAATCTGATTGGTTGAATTACTCGCCGTATATCAGCTTATATACGGTGAGTAGCGAAAAACAAGATGGCTGTCCAAAAACTACATGAGTTTTGCGAAGCAGAAAAAAGGAAAATATTCGCTTTGGGAAAGATAATCGTACAAGGAAAAACTCTCAAAAAAATTGGACAGGTTAGCAAAATACATTTATTACAAAGAAATTAGTTTAAATACAAGTTTTTTTAAAGAATTAATACCGAAACAACAGCGAAAAAAACATGTTCATATAAATTGAGAATATAAATTGTTCAGAAAAGTTTGCAACGAAAGACAAATGAATTTGCAGTCAACAAGCACTTACTATACTACCAAACATTTGTATAATATATCTGAGCTTTTCTGTGAGATACACCGGTTCTAAAACTATTTCTTTCACTTCGTATTAAAACAAAAGTATATTTCAAATTTTCAAGGCCAAGCGATTTTTGGCCGAACGGCCCAAACAAATTGTCAAGAAATTAATATAACGGAGGATAATTAATTAATGGACAGTTAATGGCTATTAGACTATACTATAAAACAATTATACCATTCGCTCTCGTCGTATATGGCTGATAGGCGACTCGGTGCTACGCACCTCGTCGGCTATCAGCTTATATACGACTCGAGCTCATGGTATAATTGTTAAATATATATATATACATATATATATACATATATATATATATATATATATATATATATATATATATATATATATATATATATATATATATATATATATATATATATATATATATCGGTTTTTTGAGCTGTTTTCAGACGAGTGTATACCAAGCAGGGCAAGTAGAAAATTCTACTTGACCGCGGCTGGGATTCGAACCCGCGACCTTCGCATTTCTAACACTCATTTTGAAAGTTATTTTAAAGCAACGGCTAGGCTTTTGATTCCTTTATTTATGATATATAATTTTATTTGTTATGATTTTATTTGTTATGACGCATGGCTCGGAAAACAAACACCCGACATTTTCACGATATGCAAAGTACAGAGTAAAAACACAGTAATAGTGAATAAAATAATCTATATATAGGATATATAGACCATGGGTAAATATCAAGATTTTGTTGGCATCTCACTCGATTGAATAATAGTTGAAGGATTTTGTAGATGAAACTATCGAGTGTCAGGGACCTATCGTTTCACTTTTCACATGCAGCTGTTGCTGGTTATAGGTCTAATATAAATTTACACTCGATAATTTCCATCTACAAAACCCTTTAACTATATATAGACCCTGCACAATCTTTAATTTTGGCATGTACATATAATTGTTGTTACAACTATGAAACTAGAATTTTGAAAAATGTTACGTATTTAATTATACGCTGCTGGTATATAAGCTAGACAATAGCGAAGTTAAATCTATACATGCAGTATACAGGGACGTGATGAGAAACAGACTAAATTTTACACTTTTACAGTAACAATGGCAGAAACTATGAAATACCGTTGTAAACAAAGACGGAAAAAAGGAAATTTAAACTGCTTTGTAGACTATAATATACTTGACATGTTGCGTCCCCGTACTATGTAGCCTATAGCCTAGATATAAAAGTCGCTATCTATAATGTGCAGCGTGAGATTATTCTGAGATAACATAACTAACAACCTTTTAACTAACAAACCGATACTTTTGAGACTACTAACAAACCGATACTTTATGAGATTAATCAACACTTTCAGAGCAATTTTATATAATTAAAGGCAATTAATGAAAGTCAAAGTTTTTAATTTCCTTAAAGAGTGCAGAGTATCATGCCAGTGGCAGTGATCCTTTGGGCACTTGGCCATGGCGTCCCGGAAAATGGCTGACTCTTGAGATATTTATAAGTGATCTCCAAGATTTAATTTGTATATTGGCCCATATTTATCAGAATCCTGTTGAAAGACAACTCTATTTCTTCTGTTAAACGAAGTAAGTCATTATATCTTGTGAAATGTTGCGTTTTTTATTTAAAATGTTTGTAATATGAAAGTATATTCATTAGATACAGCCGAATGTAAACACAAGCGTGCAAAGGATCACTGGCATAATACTCACTCTTTAAAACAGCTATAACTGAAAACTTGAAAGGGTCCAACCAATCTGGTCGTATTTTTTTATACGAAATTTCATAAAGACAGACTCCTTGCATGTTGACGTCATACAACTACATGCAACTACCATACTTAAATAACTTATTTTATAAATAATCTTGAAAAATAGATACAATTAATATGGTATTTTAAGAAGAAACAAAATGGTTTTATATATGAAAATTATTGAAATTAAATAGAATGAGCAAATTACAATCAGTTTTTAACATCCAATTTGGACTTTCAAATGTACGTTTATGTACGTTGACCTCCAATTTAATGTAAATTCGAGGTCAACGTACATAAAATTCATGTTTCTCATTGTTTCAGTGCAAATACTTCTTTAAAGAGATCTCGAGTGTAAATAAAAATTTATTGCATTCACGTGACCAGGACATCATTGCCGCATGTTTATTTCAACGACATGATGCAGGGACTGAAAATTTTTCAATTTATTTACTGTAAACACTATATACATTGTCTATAATTTTGGTAGTAGGCCCTACGATGACGTCATCATCTTTACATTAAATACCTTTAATCATATCGAATACCATTAATCATATTGAATACCATATACCGAAAATATATGTACTGAGTACTCGCGAAATGGTATAGGTCATGTTCTCGAACCGACTTGACGACGTATGTTCAGTCGGTCGAGCATCGCACTAATAAACCAAAGGTCGCGGGTTCAATTCCCATCATGGTCAAGCAACTTTTGAGCTTTCCCAGTGAGGAGACAATCAGGATAGCGTCTGACTCATCTAAAACATAATTTACCATGAGTTCAAACATTCATCAGGAGAAAATGCCAATAAATGCGCGAGGTGCAACTCTTATAATATAATATAGAACTCGAAAAGCTAGGCATTTTTTTTACCTAAGGCCTTAATTAAACGTTAGCTAAAAACAGGGAGAAATGTAAAATTGAAATGCTGAAGAGAATGGCTATAGCTTCTGGTCCTATGTTCCTATAGGCATATGATAAAGACATATATCTCGAATAAGCTGCAGCATTGTGAAAATTGAAAGTTGCAAAGCTGTTTTACCGATCTAAATCACTGTTCTGGTTGCCAGAGTTTTTTATGAGACACGTTTATTATAATATTATAATATTATATTATAGTTGATTCTGTCCGTCAATGGAAACTACTGTACAACAATGCAATATTTCCGAACTCGTATAGAAAGTCAACAAACAGCTTATGACAAACAAGTATAACCTTGCGCGTATTCTTCAACATAAGCAATGTACATGTAAGTTTGACGTGTCTTGGGATGATTTTTTCCTAGAACTTTTGAATACGCCTCGTACGCCAAGTGCAAATTTCTTACAACTAATTTTTTGTTTTTCATTTTGAGCGCAATATTTGCTACCAAAATATACATGTCAGCATGATCTTTGCTTCCTTCAAGCAAACGATCTTTTATAATGGACAACACGTCGCACAGCGCATCTTTATAATTTCCTTGATGGTAATGCGCAAGAGCAATGAGCTTACGACAATGAAATTCTTTGAATACGTCACCAGTTTCAAAAGAAACCTCCGAAAACTGCAGATGTGCATGTTGAAGTGACTGAATTGCTAAAGCATATTCTTGCTCCTCGATGTGAATGCGGCCCTTCAACAAATAACAACGGAATATGACGGAAGGTTTCCGACCTCCCGGAATTGACTCTGCAATTTGAAGACCCCTGTCAAGTGTGTTCTTCGCTAGTTTATACTCTCCAGTATCAATTAACTTGGAAACCACTGCGCTGTAGCACCATACCGTATGTTCTCGAATATCAGCATGTTCTCGCTGAATCGCATCTGAATGTGAGTCAAGAGCTTTTTGAAGAAACGCTAGACCGGCTTCTTTCTTTCCTAACTGAAGTTGGTTTAAACAGACTCTCAAATACAAGATAGGTGACAACGACTTATTATATTCGTTGATCACTGGTAGGCTGGCATCAAGCACTTCCATGTAAAAGTTTTCATCTAACTTCAAATCTAAAAGTGCTAAGTAAATCCAAAACACATATTCTTTACTTTCACGATCATCCGCACAGGTTTTCAATATCTCTAGTGCACTTTCAAAACACAGTTTACTTTCACTGTCGTTGCCAAGACAATCATACACACATCCAACAGTATGATAATTTACAACTAAATTCTTATACGAGCAGCGCTTCTCCGAAAATAGCTTAATCCTTGTGCGCAGAGCACGTTCAAGTGTTGCAAGAGCTGAAGTCCATTTCATACGCTTATATTGCAACCACCCTGTCAAAAATAGAATTTCAGCAATCTCTTCACTTTCCTCATCATAATTTTTTGCCTTGATATTAAGTGCTTCCTCATAACATTCAATAGCTTGCTTAGACTCACCCAATCTTCCATGGGTTCCCCCCTTATTAAGATAAAGGTCGGCTAAAAATTTGAAGTCGTCAGGTTCACGGTTTACAGTCAACATTATTTCAAGGGCTTGATCAAAAGCATGAAGAGAAGAAATGTAATTTTCAGCGTTATTTTCAGCCACGCCAATATTGCTGTAACATTGAGCAGTATGTTTGTGTCGCTCGCCAAAATGTTGAAGTGAAAGATCAAGTGCATTGCGACATGCTTCGATGCTCAGATCTTTGTCATCTGTGAACTCAACTTTCAGATGATAGGAAAAAAGCAAATGTCCAATCGAATACTCCATACCCATAGTTTTCTGTGAAATATCGCAAAATGCTTTATCTCTCACGTCACTAGAATCTTGAAACCCTATGAGTAATTTGTGAAGGGATTCAATGTTTTCATCCATAATAGGTTTTTGTCCGAAACTCACACCAAGAGAAGCTACAACATAATAACAGTAACAAATAATTTGATATACATAATATGAACTACATTCTTCAACCTCCTTTTGTTGCTGCAGTTTATAAACATAATTAAAAACGTGCCGTTTTATCTCCGCTGAGGAAAATGTTTTTGACCACATGCTAAAGAGATAGCTGAACAAAATTAAAGATTCGTTCACATCCTCCGTTTTGTGATCACAATCATCAATCAAAAAGAGATTCAAATTACCAATTTTGGAACAAACGTCAAAAGCCATTTCCCTAAACTTACATGATTTATCCAATTGATTCAAACTACTATAATAAGCGACAAGAATCTGAAGGCACATACATTTGAAAAGTAAGTGATTAGCGCAATCTTGCAAACTATCAAGATACTTTTCAATTTGCTGAATACCATTACGAACAACCATCCCATTGCAAATATCATGAATAGCTTCATAGCAAAAGAGTTTTGCTGCAGTACCGTCAGATAATTTGACGATATTTTCACGAACGGATTTCGGTATGCCTACATTTATATCCTGGACAAAAAGGGAAAATGCAATTCGTTGGAAATACTTGCTGACATGTAGTTTCAAGTAAATGAAGTCATTGGTTAAGGTTTTAGATTTCTCTATTGCTAAGTCGTAGAGTTTATGAATATTCTGTGACGCACTGTGGGGAACATTAATTAAGAAAAAAAATATTTCAGACTTTGATAAGATGCGAAAAACATCGTTGCAATTTTCTGAACCATTTGCGATAGACTGAAACATGGCAGTCGATAGATGGTACATTGTGTCTTGTAGCTGAGGACTATCGACCAACTTTCCGGCAAGGAAATCGTCATTTAATCTTTCAAAAAGAAGTAAGTAATATCTACAAAACCGAAGTCGAGAGGAATTTAGAACAGTTTCAAAATCACTTTGTTTTCCTTTATCCATGAGAAAAGAATGGATGAGAGGATGAATAGAGTAATATTTGCTAATGAGACTTTTATCAATGAAAGCTTTTTTGACAAGTGTGCCAAGGCTCTTTACTGATTTTGATGTACTTCCCATTTCTCCAGAAACAACGTCTATCGCGGCATCCTCACTTATCGCATCAGAAGAACATGCTGTAAGACAAATCAACGCCTGTTTCTCATGTAATGTCAACCGCTCAAAAACAGACTCGAATATTTTTTGCATTTTTTCCTCGTACCCATGCATGTCTATCTGCTCTAAAAGATTTTCAGAAAAATTAAATTCATCCAGCATTTTATTCGCAATATCTTCAGAGTTTTCAACTAACGAAGAAGCAAGGATTTTCATTGCCAGAGGAACATAGAAAGAAATTCTAACCACCCTAGCTACAACATTTTCTGAAAATGAAGGAAGAAGGTGGCGCACAAATTCAAATGATGAAGATGAACTCAGAGGCCGAATTCTTACATCTCTAAATCCTTTCCCTTGACCGCGTGTTGTTTGTAAAAGCCCCCTCGTTGTGAAAACTATCTTAATGTTAACACTACTGTCTAAAAATTCATTAAATAAATTAGTTAGTTCAGTGGAACTGCAGGTTTCGCTCGTTAAAATATCATCAAGATTATCAAACACGAGAATAACTGGAGAAGAGATTTCTCTAAAATAACTTACTAGCCTGTCTGAAGGCCTTACATTAGGATCTACTACATTACACGTAAAAATACTTAAAACCTTCGAGAGAAACTTATCTACTGTGTTAATATATTGCAATATAAAGAAATAAACTGCGTACCCGAGAGATATATTAAGGCGGTGTGCTACTTCAACAGCTGTGGATGTCTTACCAAATCCAGGAGATCCCCAAATGTTTAGCAGTCGTGTTGATTGGTCAGTTATGAGGTCTGTAATTTGTTTAATTTCATCTTCTCTGCCAGTAAACATGGGATCAGATCTTGGAATATGTGGCTTGGGTAATGTTCCTATATATAGGGTTAAAATATGCTTCTATTATAAGGGGTTTTTTTATATAATGCATTAGAATACGATAGCCAAACTTGTTACATGTACGGACAACGATATACAAAATTGCATGACTGTAGATAACCTGATCCAATCTGTGTTATATCTGTCACAATGCAAGCCAAATGAAATAAGCATATGTCCATAATTACAATATCAATGTGAAATAGTCTGACAATGCAAAAGGTGGGTTGTAAAAATTGCGAAGATAATTTTAGTCACTACAGTACGTGGCTTCTCATTAGCTAATATCTTGATGTTTGTTATGTTACTCTGAGTGTATATCCACACTGGGCAAGCTTCAAAAATATGCCTGGCCACGGTGGGAATCGAACCTACGACCTTTGGAATACATACTAGCCCAATGCTCTGCCAACTGCAGGACTTATACTAGATTGCAATGATATCGAAGGAAGGATATCTACATATAGACTCAGTTCCGAAATATCACATACTTGACCGCGTAGCTCAGTTGGCAGAGCATTGGGCTAGTATTGTAGGTTCGATTCCCACCGTGGCCAGGCAAATTTTTCAAGCTTGCCCGGTGTTGATATACACTCAGAGTAACATCGCAAACATCATATTCACCTGAGTACATGGCACCAACACAGAAAAAATATGAGCTAATAACTTGTACCAAAAGTATCAATTGTGCAACCTGCAAGTCTTTTTACTTTTCACTTCATCATACCCCAAGGGGTGGGGGTATGATGAAGTGTACTGTATATTGATAAATTATGTTATACACTAGTAAAATACAAACATCATTTTCACCTTACCAGGTTCTCCCTTATCGCCCAAACTGGTGTTTTTCATCATCTCATGAATATCAGATAATTTCTGCTCTACACTCTCATGAAACATATTCATGGCTTGTAACTCCTTCACATGACAATCACATAATTTTTGAACTTTCTCGGTCGGGAAATCATTCTCGGTCATCTGACCAATAGCATCAACAGAGGTAGTGTCAAAATTAACTTCTTTTAAAGCGTTGATCACCAACTGTACATATGTATCGAAATGAACTTTACTTAGTTCCGCTTTGGATAAATGGCAATATTCGTTTCTCAACAATCTCAGTTGATCGATCACCAAGGCGTACGTCTCTTCCTGATTTCCTGAAGAACTTCGAACGGATGCGTGAAAGGTGCCTGAAGCTGGTTTCACTTTCGTCAAGTGTAAATCATTTAAAGTTGGAACACCAAATATTTTGGCATAGATTGTTGCTTTAAACAAAGCTGTGTTATCCCACTCCTCAATTAATTTCGTAGTTGGTATAGCAGATTTACCACCTTCAGACATACGGAGCATGTTCCGCACTTTGGCACTATCATCCCAAACCATGAATCCTGGCTTTGTAGCTACGTTGGTGTCCCACATGGTGATAAATAATCCACGCACGACTTTGGGAAACTCATCAACAACAAGTGTGCCAAATTTAAAGAAATTTAATTGTTCTTTAGAAAATGGTTTCGCAGCCATTCTGTAGCAATAACTAAGCCATTCGATTACTTCCTTTCAAATTGATATCTAGAAAATCATTAAAGATAAGTATTATGTTAGAATTGATAGCCACGTACAATATTGGCTACTATGGTTAGATGTTTCTAGTTAAGGTACAGTATGTCAACACTTAATTTAAAACATATATAAACCCATAGCAGCAATCTCTATAGGAATTAGTCCAACTATTCCTAAAAATATAAGCAAAACTTCGAACGTTTCGAACGAAAGCCCTTCGTCAGCGAGTAAATTCCTCATGAAGAGCCGCTCGAAACGTCGACGTTTTGATTATATTTTTAGGTATACTTGTATATACTTCCTATAAAGATTGCTGGTTGTTCTCATCTCTATACCTACGCTAACACAGACAATTTGAGATGTATAAACCTAAATTAAATATCATGACCAATAATAGATTTTAATAGAGCATTTGTAAATTCTGAACGTTGATTGGCTAAGAACCGTGTTGATATAACTCAATGTCAACACGGAAACGTCGGAAAATGTCTTTCTTTATGTTTCTTTGTGCTATAATTATTACAAAACAAATTAATACAGAACATTTTTTCCGTATTCATATACAGTTATATGAACACTCGTGGAAATTGGGGAAACGAGAAATTGTGTGAAAACACTCCGTTTCCACACATTTCTCGTTTTCCCAATTTCCACTCGTGCTGATATTTAACAATTATTCGCCGAAGGCGAGGTGATTATCGGGGAATATTCGCCGAGACGAAGTCGAGGTGAATATTCCTCGATAATCACCGAGCCTGAGGCGAATAATTGTTTTAGTATTTTTGCACAAGTTTTTTGTGTTTTTTTTCTGGTCTGAATTCATTTTAATTTCGCTTATTTCTTTATCACTAACTTCAACAAAACGGCTAGCCGCCATTTTGAAAATTTGGATTTTGTTATATTGGTTGGCCAAACACGCCGACATATAACAGATTAATACGTCAAATTTGACCAATCACCTTGTAGGATTTGTTATGTTCACTTGTGCAAAAATACCAAAACTGTATATCAACACGGAAAATATTTTATATTTGTTAAATATCAACTATTTATTCAAACTATAGTATCTGACATAATTTTTTTAACAGTGGGTGCCAGACGACTCTGTAGATGATACAACTACCTGAGATATAGACATTAAAGAACTTTTGAATGGTCTATACACCAGTGTAGGTAGGGACCTAACACCAAAGACATGGTCCATACATGTTCCAAGAAACTGGACATCATGGTCTACATATCCGTTCACAACTTAGTAAAGTTCTTGCTTCTGCTTATCCACATATTTCCATACGTGTTGTTTTCCGTCCCTCTTGTCTCCTTTCTAGTTTCTTTCCATTTAAAGACAGGATTCCCATTGCCCTGAGATCACATGTTGTGTATCGGTTCACGTGTCAATGCTGTAGCGCATTGTATGTTGGCCAAACACGCCGACACATTCACACATGTATCCCAGAGCATATGGGAGTCTCGCCTGTGACTGGAAAAGAACGCTCTATCTCAACCATGTCTAGTATACTCGCTCACAAACACATGCACAAGCACCCAGTCTCCGCGTCTGATTTCAAAATCCTATCATTAGCCACTTTTGAGGGGGATCTTCTTATCCGTGAAAGCCTATTAATATCTCAACTTAACCCTGTCCTTAATGCTAATATTAGATCTACCCCTCTTGAGTTATTTTAGTTATGTAATTTTACCCTTAACTATACTATGTTAATTCTTACTAATTAACTATAGTTACTGATAAGTTGTTTTCCTTTCTTTCTATTCATTTGTTCTTTCAAACTATGTAATAAACCGTTTTTGTAATATTAAACCATTATTTTGTAAATATACTACCATATCCTGTAAATTCATTTATAGATTGCTCTGAAGATGTTGTTTTGTAACAACGAAACACGTTAGCTAATAAATTTCTTACTTTTATTATGTTTGGTTTTAAAGTTATTTGCTGGGCTCTGCTCTTTATCTTTAAACTAATTGTGACAGGTTTCACAATAACAGTCTCATTGACCTTTGACTTTATATTCCCAAGATCAATTTGTTTTTCATGAGTCATTTTCCTGAGGTCATTTTCAGCTTTTCGCAAGTATTCAATGTCACTTTAGATGTCAATAGTTTCACAGTTATAGCAGTGTTTATAGCAGTTTTGATAAAGCTTTGATACAGATAGATTCTCGTAAGATCAGGTAGAGTTCTCATTGCATTGAATATTGCATTGAACACGAGTTTGCACCGTTGTGCCAGACATGTGAACAAGGCCCGTAACTGTACACGTTGGATAGCTCCTTGCCTTTTTCTTCTATTTCATAAAGCTTGCTGGGAAGTCAAGCGGTTGGCGATAACACGTTGGCTAGCACCTTATACAGTCGATGTATAATGAATACACGGTCTAAACAATATATATCGGCACTTAAAGTATTAATTGAATGCCAGTAAAATCCAAAACATCAATTTATATATTGCGTAGAATCTCAAAGATTTTCTCAATATTCATGTCTGAAATGTTTATATATTTGAAAACAATACTGTATCGCTCCTTCCCAGCTCTGTAGGCTATAATGAATATACCGTCTAAATAATATCGGTAGGGCCTATTTGATTGAATGCCCATAATGCATAACATCAATTTATATATTGCGTAGATTCTCAAAGATTTACTTAATATTCACGTCTGAAATACTTATATATTTGAAAACAAAACTGTGTCGCTCCTTCGTAGCATCGCCACACCATCGTTGATCTACGGCTTGATAGCGCATGTGCATTTGCGCTGCTAAAGAAAAAATCGGGTGTTCCGGGGGAAAGATCCTTTACACAACATGAGAAGCGAATGTTCTAAAATTTACAAAAAATTACAATAACTACAACGATTCCTCGAAATTTTTGAGAACTTGGCAAAAGGCCTAAAGAATATTTAAAACAACTGAAATTGCCTAAATAAACTTCAAAACACTGACTAAGTACAATAAATCACTACGAACATAAATCGTATACACCCGCCGAAAAGTTTACTCTATGACTGATTGAAACTAAAAGTGAAAAAATTCATCTGAAGAGGACAATACCTTGAGTTTCTTCGGGAAACAAAGATCCAAACAGTGCAGCATGAAGCAATGAAGGTTCTCAGATATCTTGTTGAGGAGAATGAATGTTGGGACCAAGCAAGGCTACATGGATAGCAATGGTGGAATTCTTATTAGCACAAAGTGTGGTGTATACAGTTTTTTACCACCTACTTACAAAGGGCGAGCATGGATAAATTTGGTACGGGTACCATAATACCATTTTTATCTGTGGTATAACACAAATTGAGCGTATAGTGTAAACAGGACTAGATTTTCCTCCAAGCAACCAGTGGCGTAACGGAGGAAGAGGGGCCCCTTATGCATATTTGGTGTGGGGGCCGCTGTTGACTGTTGTCATTGTTTGACTGAGATATTATATTTATATTGAATATTATTGAATGTTCTGGAAATTTCGTGTTTATAACAATAACAGTCTCCAACACATGTAACAACTAATAAGAATAAACTTTTGTTTTATTTGAGATGGAATAACAAAATCAGCTACCATTGTCGATGGAGGCTTTATTATTTAGCTTTATTAATTTTGCATTTTCCCATTAATTCTTAACCTACATTTTTTACGTTTTCTAATGTTCTGGGCAATAGGCCGTGGCTGATGGCGGCCCCTAACTGTCGGGGCCCTTAATTTTTTAACTAACGCTACTCAATAAGCGTTATGCAACTACAAGCAACCTGTACTTTATATGGTCGAGCATATGTCTGCAATATTTTTTTGGAAAGCATTTTTTTCAAAAACACAAAAATGAGGATTCAGGGTTTAAAATAATTTGAATTTAGTTTGTAGGAGTTGTGTGGTGTGTATATCATATTTGAACCGGCAATTTTTTTCAGGCTCTGATGAGCTAAACAGGAAATGATTATAGATGTCCCACCATGTGCAAAAGCTGGACCAAAAATAGTAAAATGAGCAGCAGAAATAGAAAACGCAAGCAACAACAGCCTTTTTAAATATCAAAAAACCTTTTCAATTTCAAAAATTGTATGATGAAAATCGTCATCATAAAAAACCATCACAAAATGAAAGGCGCTTATATTAAATTATAAAACGTGTAAATTCCAGTGTTGTAACGAGTCGAGTCATTGAGTCGGACTCGAGTCGCTATTTTCAGCGACTCGACTCAACTCGAGTCCAATACGAAAAATGACTCGACTCGAGTCAACAGCCCCAAATGACTCGACTTGGACTCGACTTGCTGATTTTGCCGTAAATGACTCGAGTCAACTCAGCTACAACTTGACAATAATAATGTACAGAATAAATTCATCAAAAATATTGTGATTGTATTGCTTGGGAAGAACGATGAGCCCTGTGAACAAGGAGAACTTCGAAACTTTATCAGAAAATATATGGGATTTGCATAAGAATATATTCCTGACGGGCATACCTATATATTACATTTCTGTTTTTAGAAACAACGCTAGTGCCATAGTGGTTAAAATGGAAAATGTTTTGTACTTATACTAATTCTGACCGGCTATTTTCATTTTTGGTATTTATGAAATGATAATTGCTGCCGAAGGCAGCCTCCTATTCTTGACGATATGTTATAGTGCATTTGAATTTCCCGCCAAATGAAGTATCGCGTTTACTTGTGTCCAGTCTCTTTGCCCGAGCTATGTATTGTCGAGATCTCGATTTTGTGTCTGTCTAGATGTCGTAATTCCGGGGAAATAATTAAGGCTTCAGGAAGTTTTTTTAAACGAGGGGGGCGGTCAAACTTTATTTTGAGATCAAGTTCTTCTCAAGGACAGAACTTTACGAGCTTATTTACATTTTCATGATGGACAATATTTTCAATAATTCAGGTAAGGATAGCTTTATTTCTTTTTGGTAATATACATGAAGGCATTTACAGTATATTTAGAACACTGTGATATTTCATGAATTTAGATTCAGCATGAATTTCAGAATTTTAATACCCTGCGGCTGCACTGTCACTGATCGTCTTTATAGTTAAATATACAAGTTGAAGTAGTCAAAATCTGTTTTTAGTTTATTTGTTTGCGTGGTTATTTCCAAAGGCGATGAGTTTATAGTGTTTATTCTACATGTTTATAGCAATGTGCTTTCAGCACGTTTTAAAAACAAACGTGGAATGTTGTGTAGCAGGGCTTATAATCAGGCTTAATATTTAATATAAAGATATCCCTATAGCATAATAGCAATCCAGTGTGTTATAAAAGGAGGGGTGGCCAAACATTTTCTAGTGGGATGCAAGCAGCACCACCAAGCTTCGGCAGGAGTTAGGATTAAAGACTTTCACCCAAAGTAGGAGGGCTGACGTGAAATTTTGGTGGGGTTGAACACTTTATCGGGGTGTTATACTCGGTACTAACCCCCCAGGCCCAGTAAATCTGCCCATGGTTGTCTGCACATATTAACTTACCCGCAGTTATGTAATAGCATGTCAACCGACTTTTGTACAAGGTATGACGGTTTGTAAAAATATATCTCTGAGATACCGGGGTATGGCCATTGTTAGCATATTAAATAAGGAATAATCCTACCAGCCTACATAATACATTAATATATTCACCTGGCTGTGTCACTACATTTCAGGGTATACTATATATTTTTCTCGATAATGCTCACAATTTCTTTCTTGTTAATATACAGTTTTGAAGTTATGACTGAGTGCAATCTTAATTAATCATTGGCATTACAAATGAATGGTGCCATCTGAATCTGATGTATTAAATTAAATAAAAATGACAGTTGTTCTGTGATAGGGATAGTTTTGTATTATAGTATTTCTATACATGAAATTGTTATTAAATTTTACATGTCTAATGATTCATTCAAGTATTATTATTGTTGTTGTACATTTATTATATAAAGTATAGTGCTTTATAGAGATTTCGAGCACTGATAAAACTGAGGAAATAGGAAGTTAACCCCCTACCCCTTTCGGACGTCCTAATACATTTACTATTATCAGAAACAATTTTTTCTCCCCTCCCCCTCCGGACGGCAGAAATTTCCTCCATGGGGGGAGTATGGATCTTTTCTGGAACGACCCAATCTCACATGTGAAAATTATCGCTTTTCAGTAATCGCTTTTCTGCAAAAAATATCGCTTTTCAAAGACTGTCCTTTATATAATAAACAGAAAAATAAACATAAATACTTGGAAATACCAGATTTATTTCTCGAAATAAATCTGGTATTTCCGCACACCCATGTATTATTCTCTATATAAATATATAATATTGTACAGTATTCAGTGGCAAGCTTGTCATGGCAACTCGTCATGCTGTGCCCTCTGTGCTATGCTTATGCTGATAATCTTGCATCTATTTGAATGATACAAATCATTAAAAACTTGCATAGCATGACTTGTTGCTATGGCTAGCTTCACTAATGACAGCATTATAAGTATACATAACAAAAGCAAGAAGTTATAAGCATTGAAGGTATTCATATAAAACCACAGGTGGCCAGGCTCTGTGTGGGTATTTATTTATTTTTTAATTTTATTATATTTTGCATTACAAATTTACTTTAATTTTTTAAATTATAAAGTACAACTTACTTAGTTTCCTTTATGTATTCTTTATGTATTTGGGGGTGGTTTTAGTTTTATATAATGATATAAAAACATCATGAGTAATGGCAAAGCGGGATCATATAAACAGCCCCTTATTCAGCCAATTGTGCATGCTGCCTTTGATCCCTTGGGGGTGAGGCAGCACTTTCCTTGCGATAGTAACTTCTAGTTAAAGTCTATTCTTTGTGAATTCTGACTCCAGTTGCAAGTTATGCTAGTTGTATATACGTACACTCGATCAGCAGGAATCATGAGACATCTCATGTGGTCGTACTTAATATTGACTAAAACTGTGATATTGGTACAGCCTATATAGCTGTCCAGATACTGTTATTACATGACTAAGGTGATTAGCTTAAAACGTAAATTTGATTACTAATTTCAGACTACAAGCTAGGGTAGCGAACCATTACATAAAGCGTGGGGTGGACCATTCTCGTCCCCAGAGCCATTTTCACTCGGTCATTTGTTGAAAATCAGGCTCTCTGGGTTAGACGACTAAAGGGAGAGATCTGATTGGCTTCTCAGAGAAAGGCTATTTCGCAGAAGTTGAGTAGTTTTCGCAAGGAAAAATTATTCTATCAACATATGTCACCACAAATACTTCGTTTCTTCGTAATACTTCACTTTGAAAATTGTTACGGGTGCTATAATGTGTTCCAATTCAACACCATGCGCTTTAGAAACCACTGCAAGTTTTCTTGCATTTCCGGTTCCGTATGTCCCAGGGCTTAGGGTGGACGCTCGCGGACGAGAGGCCCTGGGGACGAGGATGGAGGTGGATCAAATTTCCTGACTCAAGTCAAGTCTAGCTATTGACTCGACTCGACTTAAACCAGTGACTCGACTTGACTCGAGTGAAACAGCTGACTCGACTCGAGTGAAGCCACTGACTCGACTCGATCAGAAACTGAAATGACTCGACTCGTGACTCGAGCTTTGAGTGACTCGACTCGACTTGTGACTCGACCTGTAGGTGAATCGTAACGGTTACAACACTGAAACTAAATTCATTGTATAGATCAATGAATTAAGATGAAAAACTTGTTGCTAAGCAGCTGGCTCCTATTTTAAACTCTGGGATTTACATGAATTGTATAACCAAGTCTGTGGAAATTAATACATTTAAAATAAATTACATGTAAAATTTGCTAAACTAAAAGTGAAAAAAATTAAACTGAAGAGCTAGGACAATACCTTAATGAGCTTCTTTGGACAAAGATCCAAGCAGTGTAGCATAAAGCAATAAACGTTCTCAGTTATCTCGTTGGGGAGAATGAATGTCAGGACTAAGCAAAGCTACATAAATAGCAATGATGGAATTCTTATTAGCACAAAAATTAATACTGTATATAAATTTTTTTATTACAGATTAATCCAAGTGACAATATTTTATGCCTGACTTTTTATGTCTCACCAGGAACAGTTGCGAAAAATGCCACACAAGGTCCTCTGGCAGGAATTGAACCCAGGGCCTTTTTTAAGGATTTTCCCGTGGGGGACATTTTTGAAAAGGGAGTTTTCTGTAAGATAAAATATTAGAAGGGGATTGCAATGGCCGAAGGCCATACATACCTAGCATGAATAGGGGGTCTGGGATACTCCCCCAGAACATTTTTGAAATATGAAGCCCGGAAATGCCATTTCCTGCATTCTGAGCATCCAAATTTGCTCTAAAATTTATGCTACTACCATTTGCAAGCTACCGTGAAGCCTGCATTTATAACTACGTTACAAAACGTTTCTTCAGCATGAGTTTGTCAATCATAACTTTTTGTTTTGCCATCATAACTTTTGTGGGCGTTTTGTCAAGCACATTGTTTTGCACGCTAAAATTTCTTCTTCTTTTTCATACGGACGCGTTTATACTGACAAAATTGCTATAGAAAGCGGAATGACAGATTTATAGCACCTTCTGCATGGGCGTACCGAAAGGAAAAAATTAGGGGGGCGGAAAGAAAATTGCCCGACTTTTCGGGATTCTGCCCGACTAGTACCAAAAAAATTTTTCCGGAAAAATTGTTTTTTGGCGACCCCCCCCCGTCGCCAAAAAAATTTCGGACAGTGTACCATTTTAGGGGTCAAAAAAATTTTCCGGACAACCACAATTTTTCGGAACATACCACAAATTTTCGAAAAAACACAAAATTTGCCAAAAAATTTACTTAATTTTAGACAAAATTGACAGAATTTGTCCCATTTTTTTTTATTGCAAACCGAAATTGCCCGACTGTTGATCGAATATTGCCCGACTGCCCAAAAAACTGGGGGGGCTACCGCCCCCCCCGCCCCCCCGCCCGGTACGCCTATGACCTTCTGGATGTGTTTACGTAACAAACCTCTATAATACAAGTGTCCTTTTGAGATTTGACGCCGAAATTCAAAGTTTCGCGTGCAAAACAATATGTTTTATACCACGCCCACAGAAGTTATTATGTCAAAACAAAATGTTTTAGGAGCAAAACAAAACGTTTTGAATGACATGCTGAAGAAACGTATTAAAACCTAGTTATAAATGCACGCTTCACGGAAGCTAAAACTTACTTTCCATTTATCTATTTGTTATTCTTCGCTGGTTTGTTTGTATAAATTTAGGGAAAAGGGACTTTCCCTGCGGGGGCAAAATTTGATTTCGTGGGGGAAGGGCACAAGGGGGGACTGAGGGGAATTTGCCACCCCCCTCCCTGATTGTATGTTAAAAAAGGCCCTGATTGAACCTGCAGCCCTGCAATTACGGTGCGGCACTCCAATTGAGCTACAAAGGCCAATTAGCAAGATGTAACCACAAGTTCATGTATGTGTATAAGCATTTTCACCTTTATTATTAGCATGACAAAATTACTGGATGCTGATTGGTTGAGAGGAGTACAATTATTTCATTAATTGTACTGCAGTACAATTAATGATTTTCCCAAAACAAACAAAATGGCGGAAAGGTATTTTAAACACTACGTGTGAAATAAAATTACCGTGGAGGAACTGGATGAAAATAAGAACAAAAGCACCAAATTTTGCTTGAACAAAAGAACTAAATGAAAATACAAACAAAAGCACCAAATTTTGGTTGAAAGTCTGGCAGGACTGGGCTTTGGCGAGAGAATATGATGTTGACATTGAGAAGTACGTATCCATATATATATATATATATATATATATATATATATATATATATATATATATATATATATATATATATATATATACTATATATATATATATATATATATATATATATATATATATATATATATATATATATATATATATATATATATATATATATATATGCCTATTATACATAAAAACAAAAGATGTGGCACTCATCAGGCATAAAAAAAAATACCTGTGGTTCCGGTTCCCGACCTACCCTATTTTTTCTGCCGATCCCAGGGCTGCAAATTACTGTCGGACATCGGACAATGTCCGACTAGATTTGGCAAATGTCCGAGCAAAAGTAATTTTGATCGGACATTGGTCCGATCACAACAAAAATTGTCACATTATACATTTTTTTGCTGTGATAAAATCTGATTGCAAATTCACTCGATTGTCATTTTGTAATAAAACTTACGAGGCGTTCTAGCATTAAACCTTACTTAACGTTGCGCCGGAATGGCATACAAACTTGTCTTGTGACTTATATATATCTTGTGACGTATATATGTCCGACCAAATTTAGTGATGTTGGTTTTTGTCCGACCAAATTCAAGTTATGTCCGACCAAAATTAAAAGTGATCGGACAAATGTCCTGCTGAGTCAAATATTTATTTGCAGCCCTGCGACCCTATTATTTTTTCAACGTGATTGACTGTGCGACCCCATTTTCTCCAGGTGGTTGTGGGCTGCTGCCAAAATAGCGTCTGTTGTCGCACTAATTATTGAAAAAACCATAAAAAAAATTTTTTTTAATTATTTCCGACCTACCGACCCTAATTTTTTCGCGATATGAAACCGGAACCATGCACAGGTATTTTTATTTTACGCCTCAGATAAATTAGCCTAATTAATACGAAATTACATGTAATAGTAATAAAGATGCCTAGTGGAATTTATTGATCTTACATGAATTTGTGGTTAAACCAGTGTTGTAACGAGTCGAGTCACTGACTCTGACTTGAGTCAACTCGAGTCGCTATTTTCAGCGACTCGACTCGAGTGCAATACGAAAAATGACTCGACTCGACTCGAGTCAATTACAGCCCCAAATGACTCGACTCGGACTCGACTTGCTGATTTTGCCGTAAATGACTCGAGTCAACTCAGCTAATTTCCGACTGCAAGCTAGGGTAGCTCAAGTCAAGTCTAGAAATTGACTCGACTCGACTTAAATCAGTGACTCGACTTGACTCGAGTGAAGCCGCTGAGTCGACTCGACTAAATCAGTGACTCGACTCGATCAAAAACTGAAATGACTCGACTCGTGACTCGACCTCAACTTCGTACCCAGGGTTCTCTTTCTGTGGCCGCGGGCTGAAGAGAACCCTGGCAAAGGCTGCGGAGCATTACGTAATATGTTGTATCTTGCCCAGGGGGGGGGGGGTGAATTATCAAGAGAGCCTGTTCCCAGGCTGCTGTTCTGTAAGAATGAAATCGCTCATTCTGTTGATCGATATCGCAACATTTATGGCATGAAATGTGCTCAATTATGTAAGATAAATGAAGATTATCGTAAATATGTTCTTATGAAATGTTTTTGAGTGAGAATATCTCAAATTTTGTATGTTTAAGAATTGTTTTAAATTATATATAAAGCGAATTGTGATCGAATGTAGTCACATTTTAATATTGCTGGCATACCTGTCCCACATTTTCGCTGTTCTGAGCTTTATATACTCTGTATATATTTCTGATCTTTTAGTACAACTTGAAAGTAATTGCTTATGTATATTTGTGTGAAAATTTATGTGTGAAAACAATTCACCTCCAAATATATTTTAAGATGGCTTTATATTATTACAGTAAAGCATCGTCGTACACCACATATATTATTTATATACAAATGACAATCTAAATTATACTGATTTGGCTGACAAACTCACTAACAGACATCATAATGAGGTTATTTGAGAGATGTATATACAAAAATGAGATCGCAGATGTTATATATCACTCAATCGATTCTGACCAATACGCATATAAAGTAGGACATAACTCAACGATGGCTTTAGTTAAATGTCAACATACGTGGTTGAAAGGGTTGGATATGGTGTGAAATATGTGAGAGTACTATCATTTGACTTTAGCAAGGCGTTTGACAGTGTTCCACACGACATACTATTTGGAAAAGTTAAGAAATTGCCTTTTAACCCGTACATCATAAATTGGATAATAGATTTCTTAAAAGATCGCAAACAGAGAGTAACAGTTGATGGCATCACAACCGAGTTCTTGAAAATTAATCGTGGCGTGCCTCAGGGGACTATTCTAGGCCCGATACTATTTTCAATAATGGTAAATGACATTAAACCAGTCAATCCAATCAATGAACTCTGTAAATTCGCTGATGATATAACAATAGAAGCCCTGGGCTATGATGAGGATGATACAGGTGCTGAAAAGGTAGAAAATATGAAATTATGGTCGGATGAAAATCGAATGGTGCTGAATATGAATAAAACATACGAAATGATTGTTTGTGGGAGAACATCTATACCTCTACCCAGTTGCATTCCGTCCATCAAACGGAAAACATGGCTCAAGATACTTGGAATTACCCTTGAGGAAATACCGGAAAATTGGGATATACACTTCGAAGAGATGCTTAAAAAAGCGAGTGGACGAATGTACATCTTACGGGTTTGTAAATATAAATTATGGTTTTACAGCAAAGCAGTTAGAAATTCTCTTTCAGAGTTTAATAATGTCATTATTGACTTTCGGAACTGAACTTTGGGGAGGAGCATCTTACACTAAATACATTAGTCAGATTGATAAGTTTATAAATCGTGCATACCGTAATGGGTATGTAACAGAGAAATCTAATTTTAGAGAAATAATTAATAAGAGAGACAAGAGATTATGGAAAAAAATATTAGATGATGAAAATAATGCACTAAGAGAACTTTTACCAAATAAATTAAATTGACCTTAAAGGCAAAGGGGACATGACTTTGAGCTGCCCTTAGTAAGAACTGAAAGATTTAAAAAATCTTTTGTAAATAGATGTCTCTTCAATTTTATCTAGTGTATGATACATTTTAATAATTTTTAACAATATTGTAGAATTTTACTAGTTTTTATTAAATTATTGATGTAAATAATTAATGTAAAATAGACTATATTCTTATAATTCCATGTAAACTCGGACGTGTGTTTCGAGTATTGATAATAAAGACTATTATTATTAATATTTACCGGTTTAATATTTAATTCACGTATTAGCCTAATATTTAATTATTAACATATTTCACTTTGATTTTATTTAATATATTATACATAATATATCATACAGTATCAGCTATAAACCACTGAGATTTTTATGCAGTATCTTACAGTTACAGTATCTTACAGCACTCTCTCAGCATGTGAGCAACCGGAATATTATCACATACAATTCCGGTTAGGTTCAGGGAGGCGGGCATGGACGTACTGCGCGCGGGGAGGGAGGGGGGGGGGATGGCGACAGCCCCCCTCCCCAGTTTGTTGGGCAAACAAAGCCAGTCGGGCAATATTCACTTCACAGTCGGGCAATATTGGCTTATTATGAAAATAAATGGGACAAATTCTGTCAATTTTGTGTGAAATTTGTCAATTTTGTGGGAAATATGCTCTCTAATAAGAATTTGTTGTAATCTCCTCCCCGCCCCATCGGCAACAATTTTGGAAGGTCTCTCCGGGAATTTTTTTTGACAACTTGGTAAATTTCTTTCCACCTCCCTAATTTTTTCCTTCCCGTAAGCCCATGGAGGCGGGTGTAATTTGCAGAATGCGGCTTATGTACTTTTGCTTAGAGTTGATAAGTAATAGCTCTCTGAGTGTTGGAGTTAGTTTCCTAACACTGAGCAAAAATACAGAAGTAGCGTTCTACATTCTGCAAATTATATCTCCCGGGTTCAGGGTTAGGAACAGACTGATCAAGTTGCTCATATATCAAGAAAGCACCTACAGATAACTGTTCTCTCTGGTACAAGAACTTTGATGTAACTCAATGTAAAATTGTACAGTAACATTTTGGCTTTTCCAAAGACTATTACAGTATTTCAAGTCATCAAGTTCTTGCCAGAACTACTCTATTATACAGTAATGTCCACCAGTATTACCAGGTTGCCACAAGTTAATTGTCAGAAGGACAGTTTGTAAACTGGAATTGTGGTCAAGGCACGAGTGTAGCTTGTGATATGGCCCAGGATATCTGCCACATGGTAAGGTGTGGGGGCAAACATAACCACAAAAGCAATGGTAAGGGCATCGTGGGTTGCATCAAGCAAATCATGCAGGCAAAGGCGTCACATATCAAAAAATGTCCAATAACCACAGCCATAAGAAGTCAAATGAAGACAAGTTGATGATATTCCAATATCTAAGAAAGTTGAAGCCTTTTGCCATTACAGCTGGTCAACATCATATTATTAAAGTTGCACAGTCATGCAATGTGAATATTTGTAATTTATATAAGTTATAATCACAAATATTACATATCACATTATATCACAAATATTACATATATCACACAAATGTATATATATATATATATATATATATATATATATATATATATATATATATATATATATATATATATATATATATATATATATATATATATATATATATATATATATATATATGAAACAGACTGTTGTGTTTTTTTGAGGTAAAACGAAAAACTATATTACGCTCTATCTATATGGTATTGAGCACTGTTTGTGTTTCGTAAACCAAAATCTTAAGCTATATATATATATATATATATATATATATATATATATATATATATATATATATATATATATATATATATATATATATATATATATATATACAGCTTAAGATTTTGGTTTACGAACCACAAACAGTGCTCAATACCATATAGATAGAGCGTAAT